AAATTTTTCTCAAAAAAAGATTGGACTCTTGTCAATCCTTGTAGTGATGCAAACAACTATACTTATACAATATGTAGTGAGGAGAGATATTTTCCACTTGGGTGTTGAGTGAGGCATTGTTGATTCTAAAATCCAAGCCATATCCTCCACTTTAAGATGATGCAAATTCTCCTTTCTCATGATTGTGGGTGGTAAGTATGTTTTCCACACGGACAATGACGATGATGTTTTATCTCATAAAATTAACCAAGACATTTGTGTTTTAAGTTTTTTTTTAAAAAGAGGAACTACATGTACACTGATCCCCTATTGCACGAAAAGGTGGTACGTAGGCACTAAAGGTCCGCAACCGCGGTGGGTGCAAAAATCATAAAAAATATATTTCTTTTCTCACCTCCACCATCTATTTTTACACAACATTTTATAGCCAAAATATACAGATTTTTCAAAGAGGTTCCTGCGGAGTACCATAGATGTTTAGGGTGTTAATACATTCCCTTTGCATAACCAACCCCCTTACCAAGAATCTTTCCCCCTCTTTTTGGGTTATTCTCTCTTTTTCCATTCCTTTGGAAACAATAAAGCGCGGTGACGATTTTTATTTTGATTTGTATAAGTCTAGTCAACCCAATGGCTTAGTCTTAAACATTTCTACCGCTACACTTACCTCTATTTCTCTCTCCTGCTGAGTTCACCGTCCAGGCATCATCAGGCTTATCATCAGACTCCTTATGATCCATCAACTGGGGTTTCTCTGTTGTGGTTATATCATGCACACTAGGTTTAGGTTTCCATGTTGTTTCCTTTTTCTGATTCTGAGCCTTATTTAAAGTACAATCATATCCCACCTTCAAAAATTGTTGGCAATATTTGGGCTTCCATTCATAATCGACTTTTTGTTCCAGCTTTTTTCCATTATGATCCTGAATCCAAATGCAATCCTTGGTCTTCTGTGTTATATCCTCTTCAATTATGACACGAGAATATGATATTCTCAAATTCCTTGTTATGCATTCATGCATTGTTATAAGGCGTCCTACTTCACTAGCTATTTTAGAAATACTTTTCTCCCCCAGAGGTGTAGAGGGAGATATGGTAGATTAATCCAAATAGGTACAACTCTTAGTAGATCCTCCCTAATTTCTAAGTTAGCAGACCAATTTCTGAGGAATAGGGGAACTCCATAGATGAAATAGGTTCCCTATTGCATCACTTTATCCCTATCTTCAGTAGATTTAAACCTCACTACAAAATAGATAATATCATTATAATAAAGTTCTGGTAGAGACACAAAATTTCATACCTTCTCCATGAATTTTTTGACTGCATTCATTGACAGAGATTCCCCAAGAGCAAAGAGTATCATAGCATGCTCCCAATAATGCAGTTCATCCTCTACATCAGCTTCATCGATAGTAACTTTTATTTCTCAATTCACCATATTCCGTATGATAAACTCCACAGACATTCCTCTCGTAAGGTCCCTATTTCCTTGAATAACGTCCACCCATGGTTTCTTAGGAGTTGAAACCCTAACCGAAGTTTTGGTCTCTACCTCCGTAGGGTTTTTGCCTGGAGTACCAATATTCCCTTTGTTCAAACAATCAGTTTCAATAACCTTCAATGTATCCACCGTCAAATCCACCAGATTCATTGTCAGATTCTCGTTTCGCTCATCCTCATTCCCCTCCATTGTTGCACTCCCTTCTGAGTCCACTACAACTAGAGTGATTATCGTCCACTCCATATCCTTCTGATGTGCCACCTCTTACTTCTTTGGCGGTCTACCGACACCCCCTCTTGCCCATGGCGGAGGTGCGTCGAAGATCGGAACCACCGTAAAAAAAATGTAACAGAAATCGCCTCAGAGAGAGAGAGAGAGAGAGAGAGAGAGAGAGAGAGAGAGAGAGAGTATCACATGAGTTTCATCTAGAATTTTAATACAAAAAACAAATTTTTGAATTTCCCAAATAATATTTTAGTATATACTATTATTTTAATTCTATTTCCACAAATATTTAAAAATATTATTTATTTATTATAATAATGCTATTTTATTATAATTATATTATTATATTAATAATCATATAATAATAATAATATTTTTTATACAATATTGTAAATATTGGTGAGAAGTTGCTTATAAAACAAAAAAGAAACAACTAATTTGTGAGGGGCTTAACCCCTCACAAATACCAAAATGTACATATATTTTCCAAGAGCTTAACCTCTAGAAAATATTGGTACATTATGCCACCTGGTACGCACTTATGTTTGCGTGTTTGCAACAAGAAATATATGAATTACATTTTATGAGGGGTTTAACCCCAAGAAAATATGTAACGTAGCAGGCCCTTCGCATATAATTTGCAACAACCTGTTTAGCTATGGGACTTGTCCCCTCACAGACTTTTGTTTTGTGAGGGGTTAAATCCCTGGCTAAAGAAACTTTTTCTTGTAGTGAACTTCCTTTACTTCTAAATGAATTTTCCATACTTTTGACCCTTTTGTTTTGTCTCTGGTTGGTTGGTCGAGCTGAAACTTGCCAGAGAATTATCCTTGACCTTTAGCCGCATCTTTTATTTCTCATTCGTTGATGAGCCAAAATTCGCCTAGCAAATTTGTATAACATTGACTTCTAGATCTTAGGTAAGATGATCTTATTTGGCTCATAAGTTGATCCTTTTTCTTTTCTTTTTCATCTTTTAACCTTTATTGATAAAAAATATAAAATAGGATCAATATAATTATTACTACAATTCTTATTTTTTTCATAAATCGGAGGGTTTCTTTACAACTTCGTGTCTAAGTAATTTAATAAGTGTGATTTTAATAGTGATAATCAGATAAATTTCACACTTATCATGCACCAGTGTCTAAAGTGAATTTAGACAATTTCAAATGCACTAAAGACATGGCCAACTTAAACTACAAACAAACTTTGACGGAAGAAGGAGATGCCCTATTAACATTTGACGTGGTTGAAGAGGGAAGCTTAATCAATATTTCCGAATTTTAAATTTGGTAAAACTTTGTTACAACTTCAATTAATTTATGTTAACGACCATGTAATAAAGTGACACACTCATTTCTATGAAACCAAATTTTTAATGAGAAAGACATCAAGGATGAAGTCTTTCCTCAAGTAAGAAAAGTGATTTTTGACGTGACACATATTCATAATCTTTTACTTGCATGAAATTATAAATACCAGCACAATATTAGAGTAATCGATATTTCCACAAATAAGGAAATAAAACATCAACGAAATTAAAATTTTCCATGAATGAGATATAACAAAATAATGTTTTTTCATATAAAATCAAAATATTTTAAACTACTTTTTTTAATAGCAAAGTAGAAACTGTATATCAAAATTAAAGAGAGAAAAAATTTATAAACAATATCAGGGGATTAGAAGAAAAGAGCACCAGAAGTGCGAAAGAACAACAAATCAGACAAAGACAAGGCCAAGACAAACACAACGAAGCAAAACAATAACACAATCAAAAACGAAAAAATAAGTCAAACAACCTAACAAACCGATCTATCTTGAAACCTCGGACGCGAACAAACCTCTAGAGAGACCCGACTTAAGGGAGGAAGAACCAATTGTTTACAATAAAAGCATAGCATCCGACCACCCGTCACTAAAGATGCAAAACAGACTCAACCTGTCGGACATGTCTGTTTTTTCGCACCTTTTTGCAAGACGGGTCAACGTTTTAGGTTTGGACTCTCTCTACTTTTTTTTTTCTGATGGCTTTTGCGAGTATGGACATTAACATAATTTTTGTAACTATTAGGCTAAAAGATGCAGTGTTTGCGGGCCACACTAGCTCGTCCTCCTTTTTTTTTTGCAGGAATATGTATGATTTTAGATTCTCATTCTCAACAATGTCTGCCTCGCTCCATTTTTCTGAGAATTTTTACGGAGCAGAAATGCCTATTTACCACCTCAACCCAACACATCCCTAGATGTCCAACCACTCGAGTGAATCCAGCTCCCTATCTAACAATGAAATTCCAAAACTCAAGTATTGATTGACATGAAATAATCCAAACTACATAATACCATCCGCATAAAAAAACTTTTTCTATCTAATGATGTTAATACTCCTTGTCACACATATATCCAACATATTATTTGTTATAATTGTATAAAATAATTGTATTCACTTATGGATTGATCGATAGCATCTATGTATATATAAATTTAATATTCCCTACTAGTATCATTATTGTAAGAAGTATTATCTTTTTTTTATTATTCTGAATATAAAAGGACACATGAAAACCCTACTTGTTCTATGTACAAAAAATAAAAAACTAAAGGACATAATTTCCTCAAAATAAAAAGGACAACACATTGTTAGATCTCAAAGTCCTGATGAGATAGTAGTCAGATTTTTTTGAAGTTAAGTCAGTATATTGTACTCTATCCACCCCCACCTCACATCTCATGTTATAATAGGTAAGACATCAAAGGTCCCACCAAAGTTTTAAAATACTTTTTCTTATGTAAAAACGATGGCGATAAAACTTATAAAAAAATGTTACTGATTTTGTGATAAAAAATAAATTGTGATTAATTTTCACTGTGACGATTACCATCAACGTTGCAACACATATGTTAATCAAAATCGTGTGCGAGAAATTTTCACTATGAAAATTATGCGAATGCGATTGTTATTTAAAACCTTGGGTCCCACATCACTAATTTTCAAATCCATGGCTGCTTTTGCTTATCTTCACCTCACTCAGAAAAATGCAGAAAAAAAGGGCAAGTTAGTGTGTGTGTCCCTCTTTGACTCTTTTTCAAAACCAAACACAAAAAACACCAAAAGTGTTTGGTTTAATCATACACCAAAATACAATCAAGTTAGAGTATTCAACACTTCATATCACACACCTCTACAAAACAAAACACTCTCTTAATCAATACTTCATCTATCTATATATCTATCAATATATATATAGCTTTTGTGATCTTTGTATCAATGGAACAGGATCAATGTTGGATTCAAACAAAGAGAAAATACTCAATGAGTTCTAATACAAATATTGTTAATTCTTCTTCACTAATTACTATTCCTTCTTCTTCTTGTTATGGTGATTCATGGGAAGAACAAGCTTTTGCCGAAGATGCAGCTGCAGGTTCACTTGGTGGATGTATATGGCCACCAAGATCATATTCTTGTAGCTTTTGTAGAAGAGAGTTTAGGTCAGCACAAGCATTAGGTGGACATATGAATGTTCATAGAAAAGATAGAGCAAGACTAAAACAACAATCACCAAATGATCAAATTCTTTTTCATCATCATCATCATCATCATCATGAGGTTGAAATTGAAAATCATCATCATCTTCTTCAAAAGCCGATTATTCAAAGCGATCATAACTATTTGGCTTATAATAGTAACCTCTTCCCTAATTCACCTCTTTGTGGTTTGGTTTATCAAAAAACAAACCCTAATTCTCATCTTGATCTCTCCTCATCTTCTAAGAATTTATTCAGGGAGGAAACCCTAATTTCACCTTCTGAATCATGGTTGAACTTACCGCGAGACGATAGATTATGTTCTCCGAAGTTTCGACAAGAAGTTGATAATGATAATCTTGATGAAAAAGTCTCCAAGGGAATATTGGATTCTAGGTTAAGAGATAGAGGGGAAAATGATGATGAAAGTGATTTATCTATGAGCTTGAATTTGGTTTTGTGTAGAGCTCATCCACTCGTCCAATTCGACAAGAGAACTAAAGAAGAAGATGTGATCAATTGCAAGAAAAGAATGAAAATAGATTCTTCATCAAATCAACTATTCTCAAACTCAAAAAGCACTTTTGATAGTCGACAAAATATCCAAGCAAATATGTTTGAGTTTAGCCCTAATTCAATTGAAGACCTAGATCTGGAGTTAAGGCTTGGTACAAGGTCCAAGGTATAGTACTTTATAGTAGCATATATAGAAAGAAAATTCTTCAATTTTCTTAATGAATATAGATTCTTCTTCTCTTATGTTCATAGTTTGTTGTTATTTGTGTTTACTTTTCTTAATTTCTTTACTTCACAAAGATGTTTTTCTTCATGTTTGATCTGTTTTTTCCATCAAAAGGGTTTCAGATTCAGATATCTACAAAGTTGTTTGTCATGATAACATTTCCAGCAACTATATAGACAAAAGTTGAATTATTTTGAATGACTGAAAATCCATCATCATAACATTATAACTGATGTTTCCCTTGATATTTACTAAGATCATAGTTTTAAATTTTTCAACGCGTCGATAATTGTTTTTTAGATTATATTAGTGATTAATTTGTTAAGAAGATCAGAAAATGTTAGTAGAAAAGATCGAAGTTTGAACCTCTTAGATAATATACATCTTCACGTCTAATCGAAACCAAAGCTAATCTTTTCAAGAACAATACATCAATAATTTTCCGACAAATAATTTCTCACTAATATAATAATACTACTATATATGTTTGTATTTATTCCGTAAACTTATTTTATTTCTTGCAATTCTTCGAAGTTAAATAGGGTTAGCTCAAGTGGTAAATATTCGAATTTTTTATGATCTTTATCTTGTATATCCATAGAGAAATATCATTAACTATGTGTTCAAAACCAAAAAAATTTCACAGAAGAGTTATTCTATTGTCATATGAATGAAGAAAATAAAAGCTAGAGTTCTAAATTTGGAACAAAACTAATCCCTTGTAGTGTAGCTCATTATTCTGCATGTGGACAACAGTACATTGTTCATGTTGACATCATCATCTGATATATACATCAAAGCAACGTGGAAATTAATCAACTGTTCAGTGTTTCAAAGAGAGAGAATGTACCTTAGGGTAAAAATTGTTATAAAGTATGAGAATTATTTGAATTCCATGCGGATCGCATGCATTCACAGAGTCAAAACATTATTACCGTTCGATTAAGATTAGAGTATTAAAAAAATATTAGGTTTAACTTTTTATTTCACACTTATAAAATACCGAACTGGAATCTAAATCATCTGATCATGGTCGAACCAAATTCAACTGTGCAAATATACTTATAAAATACTAAATGTAATATGAATCGTGTTATCTTGATTGAAAGAATTGTGTGTGATACACTTATAAAATATCGATCTAGAATCTTAATCATCTGATCTTGATTGAACGAGCGAACGCGATTGTTGTGAATAGAAAAAATATCTGCATGGAATAATGTGATGATATGCTTGCAAGCTAGCTCATTTCCCTATCCAGCACTTTAGTTTACTGACATTCCATCAGACAGAAAACTAAACTACTTATAAAAAAAAATCACGTATTGAGCTTTTCACAGCCGCATAAAGTCAGATACATCCAACATTGATTCCCTTTACATTTGTAATTATTCTCATACAAATCCATTTGCTTAAATTCACTCTTTCACCTTTTTTTCCGCTACCTTTTCTCATACATCAATCCAAAACTTGCCACCTACTATGGAATCAAAACCCTTTTAAAAAAATGAAAAGATAATATGCTTTTTGCATTATAATAATCACTCTGAGAATATCAATTATTACCAACAAATACTCACAGGCGCTGATTACGCAAATGCTTGTTTTTTCTTGTGTTTTATGTGAGGATTATGAAAAATGATAAATTAACTCATTGTTTTGGTTTGTTCTTCTTGGTATATCTATACGCAACGAATCAACTGCTGTTTAGTTTAACATAATAGGTATAGAATATTACCAAAATAAGACAAATTACTTCTCAATTTTTATTGAAAGTGTTTACGTTTAGTCTTTGATGACACATTGATTAAGACGATCTTAAACAATGTTTTTAAAATATCATACTAAATTGGCATGTTCAATCGGTTGATCA